TCCAACCCTAACTGTTCTATGTTTCTATGAACTTTAGGTGTTTTAGGTACAAATAAAAGGCAGTTCATAGTCTTCAAGTTCATCTCCAAGCTGAAACACGTCACCTTTTTGCTGAGTGAAATAAAACTATGGAGGATTCACAAGGCTTGATGAACTTGAAAAATCACTTTGCAAATAAGGACTTCTTCCCTTTCCCTCCTCTCCTGATGCAGCTGGAGCAAAGACAGGGTCACTACACAATTCCTGGTTAAATCCACCTGGTTACAAAATGGATCTGGCTTTATGTTTAGAAGATGCTCATTACAGCTTACTAATCTTCATTACGGCTACTTTTTATCACTTTTTATGCTTACTTTCTCCTTATCACTTCAGCTATTAGCAGTTGGTTTAATACACAGAGCACACATCCTCTCTGCTGCCTGATTAATTGCTTTCATCTCTTTTTATGTCACATTACTCAGAACAATAATAATGTCAGATCATAAATCCCATCCTACAGCGACAGTAAAAGCCTGATGGTAATACTTGCTGATTGTGGAACAAGGTGATCCAGTTTAACTAAACACTTAATTCCTTTCTGCTTAGTTTAATTAATTCAGCTTCATTATTTAACCTATTAACCAAAGGTTAATTAAATTGAATCTGAAGCACTCTCTTCCTATATTTATATTGCTTATTTTTTGGGGGAACGGGACTAGTGATTCATTACCTCTCTTGCTCATTAATTCTAGTGCTGCTGTTGCTCTTTCTTGAAGTGTTTGTTTTCTCCAGGGCCAAGTTAATCCATAATTCAGTGCTAATGGTAAATCAGTTGTGCATTACCCACTGTGCAAGGTCCAAAAGGTGATGCCAGGGTTTGCATGCAGGGGCTGGAGCGCATCATCCCACTGCGGTCAGCATTGGGTAACAGGACCCGCTGCAGGAACGCACCCGAAATAGCCTCAACCATCCTGCCTGGGGCTTTAAAAGGACACCTCCTTCCAGCTGCTTTAGATCTATGTTTTTCCAATGCCATCTTCTAAAAATACATCCCTGCTCTTCTTCCCAAGCCACAAAGGAGCCAGGTGGGATAGAGGTGGCCTAAAGCCTGTTTCTACAGGCTCCTTAAGGCTGTTTTGAAGAGCACCATGAAAAATCGAAGTCCAAAGCAAACGCCATAGGGCAGACCAGCAAAGGTGGCAAAATCAAATCAACAGACTCAGCCCCAAGAGCTGCTGGGGCAACACACTGGTGTGGGCAAAGCTGAACTGCCACTACCTAAGGAACCAAGGAAGTCGTGGGTACCTGCAGTGCCTGCCCTTACGTGGAGGCCTACCATGGCATGCTCACCTATAAACCATTCTGTCTCCAGAAAACATACATAATGGTTATGGTGACAGCACAGAAAAGCAAGAACCAGGGACTAGAAACACCTCTGCTGCCTGTACACCTCATTTTCATCATCATGGTCATAGCTCAGCAGCTAAACATCAACCTAAACGGGATGTGTTGGTGACAGGGCAGAGCCATGGCTCTTCAAAGCCACCCAGGAGGGGATGGACTCCCTGCACCACATCTGGATGTGCCCGTGTATGCTGGCAGATGAAGGTGGTCATGACATGTCAGGGAGCCTGTCGGCCTCCAAGGGGAAAGACCAGACCATTCTGAGCAGCCCCTTAACTCAGAAGTCCATCTACTGAGTCTGCAAATGTGAGCTGGGGAGGTTTGCACAAGGGCAATCTGCACAAAGGCTCCAGAACTGGTTCAGACACCGAGTTTTCTCCAGCACTTCAGGGATTCTAATTCCATCCAGACATTTTAAATCACCTCTGTAGCACAGGGAACTCTGCACCCATAACGCACAGCCCAAGACCCACTCGAAGTCCTAGGGACAATCTCTTGCAAAAGCACCCATCAGTGCTACCTGCATCCCAGGCACATGGAGAAGCTCAAGAATTGGACCTGCCACCTTCAGGCTTAGATTTAACAAGCCCCTGCTAAGCACAAAGCTGAATGAGATCATATCTGGTCCAGGGCCAGAAAGTAATGGTGTGGTAATGGTTTTATTGGCTTTTTGAGAAAGGAGCTGTTTGATTTCAGAGAGAGAGAGGAAAGTCAACAGCAACATTCGCTCCTGCTAATCTCATTTCCAGAAGCATGATGAGGGAGAAGGCGCCTGGGCACAAAGCTTTGCTTGATTGCTCTCTGCTTATCTAGGATTATATTTTGAGAGCAGCCCTGAGGAGAAAGACTTGCGGGTGCTGGTTGATGAGAAGCTCACCATGACCCTGCTGAAAAAGAGGATATTTAGGTTGGATGTAAGGAAGAAGCTCTTCCCTGCGAGGGTGCTGAGGTGCTGGCACAGGGTGCCCAGAGAAGCTGTGGCTGCCCCATCCCTGGCAGTGTTCAAGGCCAGGTTGGACACAGGGGCTTGGAGC